AGTTTGTAACATTGGTGCATTGCATTTTCCTTTTAGTTTGTAACTTTAATTAACTTTGAATTGGATTTTCTTTTGGGTTGTAACCTTAATTCATATTGCATTGCATTTTCCTTTTGGTTTGTAACTTTAAAGAATTTGGAATTGGAATGCTTGAGAAGTTTAACTTTAATTGGAATGCTTGGAATTGAACTTTAATTTTCTTTAGGTTGTGAATGCTTGAGAAGTTGAGGAGATTGTGAATTTATATATGCTTGAGAAGTTGGATTTTTATGACACAAAAGGAACTTGCGGTTTTAAACCGCTAATTCACGGTAACCGACCGCTTTTTGCGGTTTACCGCATTGCGGTAAATCGCAAAACGCGGTCGGTTTGCGGTTTCAAAAATCACCATACCGCAAATAGTCGGTCGGTTTGTGGTTTGGGCAAAAATTCGCGGTTACCGAACCGCAACCACCCTTATATTTTTCCATTCAAAAACACTTTTTTTTCCTATATCTCTCGAAACAACCCTATTTCTCCAGACTAACCCAAAAAAAAAAAATTAAGGAAGCTTGCTTCCCTAGTTTGGATTTAGGGTCTTTCAACTAGCCTTTGGGCTAGCTAGATCTGCTTCCCCATCCCTTTCTACTGTTGGAGGTCTTTATTGGCAGAGATTTGCTAGATGACAGAGCCAACTCATTGATTTGAGCTCTTTCTCTGTCTCTCGAACACCACCAGGAAAGCTCTTCTTCCTTCCCTTTCAATTTGGTCAATGGTTTTATCGTAGTATTGGATATTTAACTTTTTGGTTTTGTTGGTTTCCTGAGTTTATGTCTATACATCAATCTACCTTTTGACCAGCCCAAGCCAACTTTGGAGCGGCAACTAGAGTTAATTGAGAGACTCATCAGCAAGTTTCGATTGGGTCTGTGGTGGTGGGGTTTTGATTCAAGCCAAGGGTCGGACTCGTGTGTAGCGCGCTAGCCATTTTGCGAACCACATTTCGGCCTCGCTGTATTAGACAAGCGATACAATCCCATCTTTAATCCCCTCCCTTACCAAACATGGTTTTCAAGTATTTTGCGAACCACATTTCGGCCTCGCTGTATTAGACAAGCGAGTCCGGGTTTTTTTTAAACACTAATGAACTATACAATCCCATTTTTAATCCCCTCCCTTGCCAAACATGGTTTTCAAGTATTTTGCGAACCACATTTCGGCCTCGCTGTATTAGACAAGCGAGTCCGGGTTTTTTTTAAACACTAATGAACTATACAATCCCATTTTTAATCCCCTCCCTTACCAAACATGGTTTTCAAGTATTATTTAACACAATCCTGTCCAGTGAGGCATAGTGAGGCATACCAAATATGATAGGGTGCAAAGATATGCTGACGTAGACTTACTAAAATTCATCAGATCAATCTAATGATTAGTATTTCTTTAAATGCGTGTAAATGCATTGAAGCTAAATGCAGAGGCTCATGACGCCTATGAGACTAGAACAAGCAGCTTACACTAGACATGATATCATCCAAAACAAGGAAGGAAAATGGACGACACGTCGTATAAGTTCAAAACCAGAATCTTATTATCTTTTTTTCTTCTTCTCATTCATTGTTAAAGGCAAGCTATGTAACAGAAATATCATTGCAGGACCTTTTGCCTTCCTTGGGGACTACATATCACACAGGTTACAGCATAGGCCACTCCCTTTTCCCTTTTACTAGTAGAAGAAGAAAGAAGATGAAGGACAATACGCAAAACTACAGCCCGAAAATGCTTTGGTTTATACAGACTGCACTCTAAGTGCACT